CCACTGCTGCTGCCTCTGTAGAAACTCCCTTGCTTGCTGCAACTGCTGCTGCTTCTGCAACGCCTCACCTAGAACTTCCTGGTGCTGCACTTGTTGCTGTAGTTGCTGGTTGTAGAGTTGCTGCTGCTGGAGGTGCTGCTGCTGCTCAAAGTAGTGCTGTGGATAAACTTGTTGTTGCTGGAGGTGTACATGGGTCTGCTCGGTCTGATGCACCTGTTGTAGATGGGTCTGCTGCTGTAGCATCTCCTGAAAGGAGGGGCTACCACAAGTAAGGGAGCGTAGGTCCGCATCAAAGGAAGCGACAGCTAGGGAGCCCTGGGTAGTAACGGCTGCCGCTACTGCTGCTCCCCCAGCACAAAAAACAGTAGAAGAGGCTGTGGTAGCACCAGCCTGTACAGCAGGAGGTGCCGCTTCTGCTGCAGCATGTTCTTCATCAATGGCTCCTGTTACAGCGTCTAGAACCCCCGCAGCGTACTCATCTACCCCTCTACTGCCCTGTCGTTGCCCCTGCCGTGCTCGTTGGTTTCGTTGTTGCTCATGCACAGAATCTGCTCCCTTTGATGCTGCTGCAGCAAAGGCACAACCGCGGCATTCACTCTTAGAGCATGAATCGCAGGGCTCCGCAGCAGCAACGCTTGCTGCAGCGCGCGGCGTACAGCAGCCATCTCTCGCTCCGTCGACTGATTTTGTTGCTCCTCCATCGCGCCCTTGCACGTCGTCATGCCGCCTCAGGCTTATTCCGCTACATCTGCTGCTACTGTTGCTGCTGCTTCTACTGTGCGTGTGGCTGCTTGCATAGTAGCTTGGCTGCTCTTGCAAAAGCAGCGCAATCTCTACTGTTGTGTCCTTCAGCAGCAAGTACACCTCCTCAATCTTTAGAAAGGAAATCCATTCTTTGTCGCTTTTAGATGCTGCACGTGCTACTCCAGTCCCAGAGGAAGCAGCAGCAGCAGCGGCAGCCTCCAGGTCGGCAGGAAGCGGAAGCTGCGCAACAGCCTGCATGGACTTCCGTGCTGAGGAAGAAGGCCTGTATGGCAGCAGCTGGTTGCGAGGCAGTAACATCCGCGAGGTCTGCTGCTGCTGCTGCTTCCGTAAGTCATCCAGCAGCAGTAGTGTCTCAGCTGGTGGAGGGCACATACGCTGCAGCAATGGGCATCTGCTTGCAGCAGCAGCACATTCCTCTGCAGCAAAGATCAAACTCAGAGAGCGCATAGAGCCTGTCCTCCACTGGTGCTGCTGCTTTCACTCAGACTGCTGCTGCCGCAACTGTCTCCACTGCTGCTGCCAGTGCTTTTGCTCAAGCATACCTGCTGCTATTTGCATATCCTTGAGAGCTTCCTTAAGAGGATTGGCAAGAGAAGCCAGCACTGACACTAAAGCCAGTCCCGCACCTGCTGCGACTGCTGGGCGCATGCAGCGTTGCAGTAGCGCATGAAGTAGGCGCAGTAGCAATGCCGCAATGCCCCAGATGTCATCCACGAGCAGAACTACATATACGCTACTCACAGCAAACAGGCTGCTGCCCCTATGCTGCAGCAGCAGCAAACAAAGAGTGCACGCACGGTGCAGTACGCTAATTAGCCTGCGACGCAGCATAGCAGCAGCTAATCCATCCAGGCAAGACTTCTGGTGCTGGTGTTGCTGCTGCACTTGCAGTCTGGGTGGTACAGTAGCACCAGGTCACAACAGCGCCTGCAGCCTTCGGTGCTAACATTGCAGCAGCTGTGTTCCTTCCCTCCATTACTCTGCTGCAAAAGTCCCATGGCCTGCATGCTTAATAATGTGTCATCCACCTAATGCTCGAAGTTACAAAGCTCTCGAGCAGTCGATTTAAATAGTGAGCGTGTCTTGTGTGTCTGCCGAGACAGATGAGAGCACTGTGTGACCAGGAGCTTACTGCAGTGCGACAGAAGCATTGAGAGAGACAACACCTTCTGCTTCAAAGGCCACGAGGGTTTCCAAAGACACTCCATTAGCCCTCAAGAAACGAGAGACTGACCAAGTCCCTGCAGCAGCGAAAACCGATAGAGCAACAGATGCAGCACACACAAAGGCCAACCGTAGAGGATCCAGACAAATCCAAGAAACAGAAAGCGCTACGCACGTTACTGACGCTTTTTATGTGTATTCTGGGTCTCTTATTCTCCTTTCTTTGTTGCTTATAATGCTGCTGCTGTTTTCGTGCCGTACCAGTGCAGCAGTCTACAAGTTGCACGTGCAGTCGTAGCTTTTCAGCAAAGAAATCCGCGCAGGCACACACCGCACCCTCAGGCCTGGATGCTGCTGCTACAGTTGCTGCAGCCACTGTTGATGTACCTGTTAGAGCTCTTGCCAAAGCCCCGCCTGCGTCTGCTGCTGTTGAAGCTGTTACTTCTGCTGTAGGCTGGAAGGCCTTGGCTGACCAAATACGTAGTATGTGCACCGGAAGTTTGTGGAGAGAAGAACCAACGAAAGCATCCACTGGAATCTGCGACCACACCCGAGAAAAGAACTTCAAGACATTGAGGTCTGCTCCCCGATGCTAAACGTGTATTTGTGTGCCTTGCCGTAATGCGTCTACTCCCAACCTCACCTGCGCCAAAAGCCTGTGAGCCAAAATGAGGGCCTTAAGAGCTGACACGGGATGACGCAGAACGCTGCAGCGCTGAATGGAAATGAGATGCAGCAGCAGTGACGGCATAAACATAGCAACAAAAGCAGAGATACACACAAGTATCATTCAGTTGCTAGTCCTTCCTCGATTGGATATGGAGGCAAAAAATTATGTCCCGAAAAGCAGGTGAAGGCGAGGAAAGAGTCTACGATACCAGTATCATTGGTTGTGTCAAAGAGATGCTCACCAGCAGCTCCCGAGAAAACATTTCCGCTGTCTCGAAATTAAGCTCTCGGCTTCTATTACCGCTCTTGATTCGGTTGTTGGCACTGTTGCTGCTGTCTCTTGTCCCCCAGACGCTCCTGCCGTTGTTGCTGCTGCTGTGCGCGCTTCCATTATCCGCGAAGATATGAAACAAACGGGGCAACAAAGCCAAGTCCGATAGCGAGGGCCCTACCAGTTCCTTCGAAAGACAGCGCCGCAGCAACATCGACGCTGCTGCTGGCAGCTTCCGTGCCTTCCCATCTGTTCTTTTTGCCCTTGTTGTTGTTTCTGCTCCTGGAATAGCTGCAGAGTCTCGCGTGTTCGCTGCTGGAGACGCAGCTGTAGCAACTGCAGCAGCCAAACTAACAGGGAGTTCAGTTGAGCTCTGACTACGCCCAACGAGGTCTCTGGACAACTCCCGAGTAGCGCTTGCTATCTTTTCGCTTTGACGAGAAAGACGGTGGCGTAGCAGCTGCTGATGGAGCTTCTGGCTTCGTTGCTGCTGCTCGTATTGGCTCTGTTGCTGGCAACGAAGCCGATGAATCTGCTGCTGTTTCTCCTGAGGCAAGGCTTCTTGGTTCAATACTCCCGATAATGCAGCGTGCTGATGCGTTGTAGGATTAAGAACTTGCTGGTCTAGCTGCTGGTGTTGCTGCAGCTGCTGTTGTTGCAGCAGCTGTTGCTGTTCATGCTGCTGCTGCGGCAGTCGCCGTCCTTCCCGCTGTTGTTCCAATGCAGGTTCATCCTGCCCAGTGCAAAGCAGTCCCCGAGACTGATCTTGAAAGCCTTGCTGGGACGGTAACAGGTATGGTTGCTGCATGGGTTGTAAATGCTGCTGTTGCTGCTGCTGCTGGTGCAGGTGCTGCTGTTGTCGCTGCTGCAGCAGCTGCTGTAGGAGCTGGCGCTGCTGCTGTTCCTGTGACTGCTGCATCACATCTTGGGCTCATGAGGGGAAAATTGTCTCCTGAAACAAAGACTAGCTGCGAATTCCCGTTTTTTATTCTCAAAGGGCTGCGGAGCATTCACTGTAATCGTCAGTACAGTGTTCCTGCTGCTACTGCTAATGCGCCTTTTCCTCCAGTTACCAAATTGAGTAGTCCGCATTTATTTGTCCTACTCCAACGGCGTTTGCTGCTTCCGGGAGGCTACAGCAGCTGCTTAGTTGAGCTCCGTCTGCACAGCAAGAGTAACCTGGACTTCAAATGCACTGGCAAGCGGGGAAAAATGCTCCTCCTGCAGGCTTCTCGGTCTGGATTAGGCATTAGCACCAAAAGGAGAGGACGACGACGGCGAGGCATGCGGCTGAATGAAGTGTTGGTGTAGCGGATCTAGGTGGGTGATGCTGCTATTGCTGCTGGACTAGAGGTAGCAACAGCGAAAGCGAGCAACAACACTAGTCTGCTGCCCTTTTCGTCTCAAAAGACGTGTAACATATATTCAGTTCGGAAAAAGGCAGCCATGATTAGTAACTGTCGTGCTACAAGCAACGGCGACAGCGGCAGCAGTACTGGGAAAAGCGGGTCGCTGTAGTTGCCGGCGTGGGGCCTTGGGGCCCTCCACCATCCTCACCACTCCAGTCAACACTCGATTGCACTACCCTTCTAGCAGAGACAAATATTGGTAAAATTCATTTTCTATTGTTCCACTTCAATAACATTTCGTTTGGGAGACCTTCCTGGAGCGCTGCTGCAGCAAATCTGTTGCCGCAGCTGCTGCTGCCGCTGCCGACGGCAACAATTTTCTTCTTCCACATACATCCAGGCTAACCATAACTTCAGCAGTACAGTGGAAGTGGTAGTGGTACTGCTTTAAACCTTATTAATGCCACCAATTGCGGTCTGCAAAGTAGGGCAATAGCAGACGCGAGGGGACTTGCACCATATCATCCGTATCATTTGCAGCAGCAGCAAAATTCATACACAGGACGCAAGTAAAACGGGACTGGAAAATGGATGAGAACAGGAATCCACAAGGAGCCAGTGTGGGACCCAACACCACGACAAACGAAGACACTGATCTTCCTTGGGTACCTCGAAACTCGCAACCCTACCCCCATACCTAAACCCTTGGCTTTGCTCCCTTTACCCCGGGCACTTGCTTTCTTGGCTTCCTTCCACACGAGTTTCTGGATTTTGGGTAATCCATGCAGGTTGAGCGCTACCGCCCAAAGACGTTGAGCGACATTTTGTCTCACGATGATATTATCCAGACAAGCAAGTCAACCTAAGCCTTAAGCATCCACAGAACTGGGGAGATTAGGGCCCTAAGCGCGTTGCGGCCTCAAGTGCTATGCGTTTTGTTTTTCAGTTAGCCTGTTGACATGCTTGGTCGGCATAGTTTTTATGCTTTGTAATGTTTTGTGCTTCTAGTTTTTTCTTTGAATGCTCAGTTCGGCGGTATGTCGACAAGGGTCAGCTGCCTCACCTTTTGTTTCACGGTCCTCCAGGTGAGAAACGAAAAGGTTACGTGTTTCAAAACAGTGCCTAGAGTTCAAAGACGCACGCTAATACCACATATTTGCAGCCCGTGTGTTCCATGTGAAGCCGGCTTCGATCCACAGTTGGACTCCATTGCTTGCGGTTTCTGGCTTAACATAGGAACTGGCAAAACGTCTACTATTCTGGCCGTGGCTAGGCAGCTGTATGGTTCGCAACAGGCATCTCATGTTCTTGAGGTGTGCCAAAAGCCATGAGATCGCCGGCTCTGCGAACAACTTTGCCATAGGTTAACAATCTAGCCCGCCTTGTTACTGGTGCCGATGGCATTTTTGTTGTTGTGGCATTCGATCCTGTGGATGCGATCTTGCCAAATGTGTGGGTGTATTTCTGCTGTAGCTGAATGCCTCAGATGACAGAGGGATCGGGTCTGTGCGAGAACTGGTTAAAACGTTTGCAGAAACGACCTCCGCGTCTTTCTCTCTGTAAGCTGCAGTCAGTCGCTGGGGTTGAGGATGCAGCCCTTCGAATTCAAAGAAAGCCACCTGTGGGAATCGAACCCACGACCTTTTGATTACGAATCAAACGCACTACCAACTGTGCTAAGGAGGCGAACGACGGTAGTGGCAGGAAGCATTGTGCATGAAACACTAAAGATCATTACTGCTCTCAGTGTTCCAGTCGGTGGTATACGTGCAAGAGCTCAGGGCACAGGGCTATGGGATTACATAACAGAGTTTTGGAGTTTTCTTAGGTCTGGGACTGCGCCTTCTGGGCCTCCTAAACTGAAACTGATCATATTAGATGAAGCAGATCAAATGACATCTGCAGCGCAGAATGCGCTAAGAAGAAGTATGTCTTTACTGGGCTCGCTGTTTTAGCTGATGCCGCCTCTCAAAGTGCTGCTTGCCTCCCCCATCTGAACAGATATACATTCAGCGGCTGCTGCATGATGGAACTGGCAAAGAAACTTGGCTGTTCATTTGGGGGCAACGAGTTTAGAGTTTACATTGAGGATCTGAGAGTGTGCCATTTTCAGTCATGGAAAGCTATGCGCGCAACGTCCGTTTCTGCCTAATTTGCAACTTCGTCAACAAAATTACCCCTGCCATTCAGTCAAGATGCACCAGGTAACCTGCAGCTGCTTATACCGTCGGTGTTTGTGTTGCTGCTACTGTTCTGTGGACGCTGTAACCTCTCAGTGGACGTCTAGCACTTGCGTTGTGTTCTCCGTGCAGCATGCGCTTTACTCCCCTCAAGCCCGAAGCGGTAGGTTTTGCGGTTGTAGCTTTGACTACGGGCAGAAATTGCCCCTCGTCGTTTGGATTGTATGCGCTTCTTCTCGCCGTTGTGGCTTGCGGGATTACAAGCAGAGGCTTGCGATTCAATTCCCGTCTGTTGTTTCAGCTGAGGCGAAAAGCAGAAGAGGCAGCGAAGCTGGAATGGTACAGGTTCCACTTGCTTAATTGTCAACACTCACACCAAACTTCAGTACTCGAGCCTTGCTGTAGTTATGGGCGCCTCTCATGCTTATGGTGCGGTACTGAGTGTTTACTTGCTCGCAGCCTGTCAGTGACAGAAGATGGTTATGAGGCACTCCTGCAAATCGGTGAGCAGCAATTCAGAAATTGAAGGATTTACCGTGGCAGGCGGGGCAGTTGATATAATTCTTCCTCAGGTATAGGCCTGATGATTTGGGGCTTAGTGACTGAGGCTGTGTTCATTCTTTTTACAGCTGCTGGAGACATGCGACGGCTCCTCAATTGCATGCAGGTGAGTGTCAGATTCTAGGATGTGATTAGGGCTCCTGTGAGAGCCGACCTGGCAAAAGGTTATGATTTGCTGTTTGTGACTTCGGAGTAATGGTTTTCTCAGGCAGCGAGCATGGCTCACCCTGGGGAGCCAGTCGATGCCGAGCTGGTACACCGCGTTTTGGGGATACCCCAACCAAGTGAGGTAAAAGGCGTCATGCAGATTCTCTTGGAGAAGGATCTTCGGACTTGTTCTTCAGGTGATTTTCTAGCCCTGCTCGCTTTTTTTCTGGACTGTACTTCTGGGTTATTTTGGCGGGGTTACGGCAGCAACCGATTTCAGAGAGCCGTCGTTCGTGTGTGCTGGTTCGCAGAGTTCTATGGACTGGTTACAAGGCGAGGCTACTCGGTCAGAGACTGGGTTGGAGGTAAGCTTAAACGGTGAAGGGGCGTGGGCCTTTCGAAGCAAATTATCCCGCGCTAAACGCTACACCCAGTGAGACTCGAAGCCCGTAGGAAGGCGAAGTCAGCTCATGCTCACCGTGGATCCACTGATTTTCGCTGTTTTCTTCTCTCTATGTCTCCTCCTCTCTTTGTCCTTGCCTTCGCGTCACAGTATAAGGATTTTCATCTGAAGTTTTTAGCCTGATGAAGGGGACGTAGAGTCTTGGGTTTGCGCCGCAGCCCTCCACTGCGAGATGCGAAATATGAAGCTACCTGTGCCTGTGGCGTTGACTCTCGTGACACGCCTCGCGGATATTGAGTGAGGAAGGATATCCAAGTTCTGACTGCATACTGCAGAACAACTGAGGGGTTGCTACCCTCTCCAAGTAGAGTACAAGGGTTAGACCCTCAGACTGCCTTGTCTTACTAACACGCTTTTGTGAAATAAAAGCCACTGTGCCTTATGGCTGCCTTGCAGGGAGAGACTGGCGTTGGGCTCAGGTGAATTCGTGCAGGTGCGCAACTCCAAAAACTACAATGAAGCAAAGCCGTATACATATCTCAAAATTCAAACATATCATATGCCTAGAGAGCGAAAAATCAAACAAATAAAAATTTGTGTTTGCTGCGTGCAGCTGCACGCCATCATCGCAGCTTTCTTTGAGGCCCGACATGCTTTGCATGCCCCAAAGAGCCCGCCTGCTGTGGTGGCAAGCTAGCTAGCTTGCGAACCATCTAGCCAACTGAACACAGGTGAATATATTTATCACAGAGGTGCGAGGAGACTTCAAGCAGAAGAAGTACGCAAAGCTTGCAGACTTGAGACTCTCGAAAGCTTGGGACCTTCAGGGACCCCAGAACTTTCGAGGCCTATTTCTGTGGACCCCTCAAATTTGCGAACTGTCGTCCAAAAGTTGACATTTTCTGATTTGGGGATCGTACGGTCGTCTCAACCTTGCGTTCCGTATAAATCCTCTAGGAAGGCAAGGCTTCCTACTTTCTCTGCACTTGCCGTCAATTCGTAGCTTTAGCAGCACCCAAACCACTTTTTGCTAGCTTTCCTGCGTAGGTGCTTTGGTTGCTCCACCTCCCGGTTTTCTGGGGGAGGAACCGGGGCTACGCACGCTGCTGGGTTTATCATTCCATACGGGTCATAGTAAGCGGGCCCTGGCAAAGTGAATGTGTCAAGGCTGGTAAAGGGTAGTTGAGCCCCCATGCCCTGCGAAACCCAGTACAACGCAAAACACAGGAAATTCTGCAAGTTCAACGTCGCCCATCACCTCCACGAAGCTGCGCGGGGCAAAGTTACGGACTTCGCCCCGCCAGACACTGACAGCCAACTGGTAGGCGTTGGCCAGTCCTCCTGCTGGTCAGGAGCCGAGTGGAATTAGTCCTTTGCTCTGTAGATCAAGTGTCTCGCTACATTATTTGTGTGTGACGCTCAACGCTTCTGCAGCATGGAGTGTTCAGCATGATGAATGTGGTGACGGCTTAGCAAAATGTGGCTACACTCACGGGAAAGTAAGGGCCCCCCGTGGGAGGAGGAGCCATAGCTAGTGAATAAGGAGATCCGTAAGGACCATACATTGCGGTCTGGTTAGCGAAGGCAGCTACCTGAGCCTGAGTTGGATCTACAGGCCCTCCCTCAACCATGCCAGGGTAACCGTGAGGGATACCCTGGGCCGCAAGCTGCTGCTGCAGCGAAACTGGATACTGTTGCTGAAATTGGAGGCCTTCGCCAGTCCCCGACGAAGGCGGACAGCCTTCCCGCCCTGAAGTAGAGGCTCCAGCCGTCGGAGACCCTTCCACCAACCCTTTGTTCGCTGCTGCTGCTGCTGCTGCTGCTGACATCTTAGTCGAGGCGATTACCACACTACTACTGAGGCCAAGGTTTCAAGCGATATAATGTAGAATTGATGTTAAACAGACAAATCAATAAAACGATTGACAAACATTGCAGCAACCACCACCGGGCAGAGGCCGGCAGCACCGGACCACTGCGGCCGCCCGCAGCTACATCAGCAGCAGCTGCTGCTGCTGCTGCACAGCTGACTTGCTGCAGTTACCCTACAACTATTTGGGAGAATAGCTATAAAATTATAACTGTTTAAGAAAGGAAGGTGCATGATCGAGATATGTGTATCACTCGTGGCCTAAGGGTCCCGCACAAAGGACCCAGCAAGCGGACACGCCTCTCCCGAACACAAAGTGTACATTCCAAAGTCCACACTGTGGACCGTCTTCGCCGTTATGATTTCGTTTTGAAAAGCATAAGATTCTCCCAAATTTTATTTGTTATTTGGAACGACAAAGAATAGAATGCCAAGAACACGCGCGGCTGCTGCATCGTAGTTCAGGGCCACCCGTACGCGCGAATCCGGTGGTGGCCCTCGACCGCACATTTATTGTAGATCTGTTCACGAGCAGTTTGGCACATATTTGCTGATGCTTTAGAAAAGAGTTGTGCTGTCTAGGAGACAGAGTAAAAACGAGTCCTGCGAACTGTTCCTAAGACGTGGTGACCCTGAAACCGGGCCCGCTGTGGGTTTAATCGTTGTTTCCTCCTTCAAAGATTTGTTTGTGCGTTATATCTCACCCATGGTGACGGTCAGCAGGCCTTCACTCGTGGAGGCCTTCACTTGGGGACGGGGTTCATCGCGCAGCCAGGGTTCTACAGTTGATACGGCGACGCTAAATGAGTCCTGAGCTGTCCTTCGGCAGCTGCTCACCATCTCTTCTGGGCAGAAAGCCCCCAGACTCGCTGCATAGAGTGTGAGTCTCTTTTTAGTTGTGAGGACTTGGTTGGGGCTTAGCCTTTGAGGTCTTTGATCGAACCCTAAATGGTTGTTCCCAGTTCTTGAATTGATGTGATGTAAACGTATGATTTCTGCCCTGTTTGGTTTGTCTGGCTGTTTTAATGTGCTCTCCGACTAAGCCGTACACGTCCGTTACTGAAGTAGTAAAATCTGTAGTGTTTTAGCTAATCCATGCCCTTATATTTCAAAGTATTCGGGAAAAGCTGTTCATGGAGCTAGAGCGAAACTGTACTGAGAACAAAAAGGTACACAAAGACAGTGTCAGCTATGCGACTGGAGAATGGGACATGAAGAGGCAACAGGGAAACGCAGAGGCAAACATGGGCACAACCGGACTGACAAAGACATAGAACAAAGGGAGAAGCTCATGTGACAGTAATACAGGCATATCAGGGAACGCAGGACTGCGTGACCCCCAAAAAAATATAAGTCCGGTTTTCACCACTGAGCTAGCGCAACAAAGCCAAAACGACACGATTCGTAAGAGACAAATATATCAAGAACAAGTGCAGACTGGTCCGGAGCACCATTAGCTCGTGCAAAATCCTATTGTGTGCTGCCTCCTCTACCTGCTTGTATACTTCGCCAGCAGCTGTTACCTAGGATTTCTCAGCACCTGACCCAGATCGTATAGGAAAGCTCCCCAGGTCTATTGGAGTTTCTTCCTGCATGCGAAGCTCCAAAGGTTTTCGCTTCTGCTCAGCTGCCCAACTACCCTGCGACATTGAGATCCTCTCCACCAATTTTTCTGCCGTATCCTGAGTTCGCAAACGTCAGAGCAAGCCACATGCAAATGCCCCGAACTGCATACATGCCAAGACAACTTAGTGGGATGGGTGGAATGGAAGAGAAGAGCCCTGAAGCACCTGCTGGCTTCACAAAATCGTACGTATGCTGAACAACAGTGATAGAGGATGGTATTCTTAGGTTCTGACACACGTTGAGAAGATCGGCAAATTGAAATGTCATTCTCTCGATATCTCCTTCCAGCTGCTGGAGGTTTTGTTTGGCTTTCTGTAATTCCTTTTCCTTTGTAGAGCGTGTCCTTGAGACGTCCTCCTCAGTTATAGCTGTACGTACACCCCAAAGGTGAAGGCTTTGCCCTTAAGGCTTCAGGGCTGGCACCAGTGCTCAGCCGATAGCCCTCCATAGAGCCCGACACAACTGGGGGTTCCTTGTGTCGTAGAGGCGTTAGAAGAGTTTAAACAGTACCCAAGTCTCAGCAGCAATGTAGAGAACTAATGAAGACAGCTTGAATTGTACTGACGACTGTCCACCTGAACCGTTTTTTCGCTGAATTGCATTCTGCGTTGGCGACTCTGATTTCGCCTACCTACATCCCGTTCTGCAGCCTGCAGTTGCTGCTGTAGGTTTTGGATGAGTTGTTGATAATGCGTTTTTGCCTCTGAAATTTTTTGGCTCAGATTTCCGGCACTTGAGAAAAGAAGCTTATCTTGTTGGCTGAATAACTCATTAAGGTCCTCTATTTGCTTTCTAAGCCCAGCAGATGCACGCTCACTCTTTTCCCGCAGCTCCAGCTCCACTTCTGCAATACAGCATTCTTGTGACATAATGCCCGCGCTATGTCAGCTCATGTGCTGGCAGATTGCATATTATAAATTCCGATGCTAATGCAATTGTTGCGTCAATGTATCGTAAGCTCTACGCACGTATTTGTGCTGTGTGCTCTTATAGTCCGGCTCCCAAGCTACAGTGACTCCTGAAAATTGCCGGGAAATTAAAGCATACCCGCCACTGTTCCTAATGTGCAACTGTACGCTCAAGTGCTGAAAGAAGTTCAAGGAATGCGAAGTGTTAAGTGTCAGGAGGAAGGTGACCGCTTGATGGGATCAGAGAGACACTATGCAGCAAACACGGAAACAGATGTTACGTTGAACTTATAACATCAACTAATTTAGCGCAGCTCTGGAGGCTGGCTCATCGTGTAAAGCTTAATTCTTGCTATATTTCTTTGCTTTTGTACAAATGCAACCAGCAAGACTATCCCGTGGAGGGCACTTCAAACCGGCTCGCGCGGGTGAAAGACGTGTATCCTAGCCTGACTACGACAAACTGCGACGCCAAAAAGGATTGATGCTGTAATCCGTGAGCAGCCTTATCCCCTGCCTGTGTCGGAAGAATACTCATTGCCCCCCTACGCTAGGCACACTGAAATGTTTGTGAAGCATGCGCGAACAGCGGTGTGGTTCTCCCTGTGCTGAGCCCTAAGATCTCCATGTCTTCAGTCAGTGCTGCGTTCCGTTGGAATCAAAATACACCTAGCATCATCTTACCAAGGAGCTTGTCCAGGGTCTGTATTCGCCTCCTGAGCACTTCATTTTCGAGCTCGTAATTGCGATCTTCGTCTTTCTTGGCACTGGCTGACATCTCAACTGGATGAAGCAGAAAGAGCTCAAATTTAAGTAATTAGGGACATCACCTAGAAGCGCTAGTCACTGCTCTACAGAGGGCTTCGCTGAATGCGTAGCCTTCCAACTAACAAAATTGCACCACTGATAATGAATAAGCCTTTAATTAAAAATTTTCATTTCACCTAGGTTTTTTTCAGCTGCAACAGCGTGAGGAGCCGCAGCACTGCACAAGGTGACGCTGGCTGCAAAAAGCGGCTGACTTGCTCATTTTCTCGGTGTAATACACCTCTTCGAAAAACTGGTGAAAAAGACTTTCGTTTTAGCACGAAAATTAATGCGGCCTTTAATATTGGTCGATTAATGCAATTTGCAGACCACGTTAAGATCTCCCTGTCTGCACAACCCATTGTAAGCCCAATCGCAGTGTCGACAGCAAACCTTCCACTGCTTCAGTGTCTCGCTTCCCTTCCGCCCACAATTTTTTGCATATACGCGTCAATTATGCGATAAGTGATAGCATTTTGGCTACGC